TGACCATGTGCTCCTGCAATTTGAGGTACAAAGGAAGGCTGAAACTAAGACAAGTCAAACCCGCATTTTGGACTTTAGGAGAGCTGATTTCCAAAAAATGAAGGAAACACTGAGCAGCATTCCGTGGACACAGATACTAAAAGACAAGGGAGTTACGGATGGATGGGAGTTTTTCAAGAGTGAAATACTCAAGGTGCAATTGCAAATAGTGCCAACAAAGAGAAAAAATAGGACAAGTGCAAAGAAGCCAGAATGGATGTCCAAATAACTTCTAGCTGTGCTAAGGCTCAAAAGATACATGCACAAGAAGTGGAAAAAGGGAGAAATCACCAAAGAAGAATCAAACAAATAGCCAACACCTGTAGGGAAAAGGTCCGCAAGGCTAAAGCAAAAAACGAGCTCAGACTTGCCAGGGACATTAAAAACAATAAAAAGGGCTTCTATTCTTATGTCAGTAGAAAAAGGAAAAACAAGGAGGCGATAGGACCTCTTCGAGGAGAAGATGGGGCAATGCTGCCAGGGGATAGGGAAAAGGCAGAACTACTTAATGCCTTCTTTGCCTCGGTCTTCTCACAAAAAGAGAGTCTTCAACCTCAGCAAGATGGAGTGGATGAGGGATTGGAGGACATCCAACCCCAAATTGGGAAAGAAGTCGTCCAGGAATACCTGGCCGCTCTTAATGAGTTCAAGTCCCCAGGGCCAGATCAACTACACACCAGAGTATTGAAGGAACTAGCGGAAGTCATTTCGGAACCATTGGCAACCATCTTTGAGAGTTCTTGGAGAACGGGAGAAGTTCCAGCAGATTGGAGGAGGGCCAATGTGGTCCCAATCTTCAAGAAGGGAAAAAAGGATGACCCAAACAACTACCGTCCGGTCAGCCTCACGTCGATACCGGGCAAGATTCTGGAAAAGATTGTTAAGGAAGTGGTCTGCAAACACTTAGAAACAAATGCGGTCATCGCTAATAGTCAACATGGATTTATCAAAAACAAGTCATGCCAGACTAATCTGATCTCTTTTTCGATAGAGTTACAAGCTGGGTAGATGCGGGGAATGCCGTGGATGTAGCGTACCTGGATTTCAGTAAGGCCTTCGACAAGTTCCCCCATGACCTTCTGGCAAGGAAACTAGTCCAATGTGGGCTAGGCAAAACTACGGTGAGGTGGATCTGTAATTGGTTAAATGGACGAACCCAGAGGGTGCTCACCAATGCTTCCTCTTCATCCTGGAAAGAAGTGACGAGGGAGTGCCGCAAGCAGGGTTCCCTCCTGGGCCTGGTCCTGTTCAACATCTTTATTAATGACTTAAGGGTTAGAAGGCAGGATCATCAAGTTTGCAGACGACACCAAATTGGGAGGGATAGCCAATACTCCAGAAGACAGGAGCAGGATTCAAAACGATCTTGACAGATTAGAGAGATGGCCAAAACTAACAAAATGAAGTTCAACAGTGACAAATGCAAGATACTCCACTTTGGCAGGAAAAACGAAATGTAAAGATACAGAATGGGGGACGCCTGGCTCGAGAGCAGTACGTGTGAAAAAGATCTTGGAGTCCTCGTGGACAACAAGTTAAACATGAGCCAACAATGTGATGTGGCGGCAAAAAAAGCCAATGGGATTTTGGCCTGCATCAATAGGAGCATAGTGTCTAGATCTAAGGAAGTAATGCTACCCCTCTATTCGGCTTTGGTTAGACCACATCTGGAATATTGTGTCCAATTCTGGGCACCACAATTCAAGAGAGATATTGACAAGCTGGAATGTGTCCAGAGGAGGGCGACTAAAATGATCAAGGGTCTGGAGAACAAGCCCTATGAGGAGTGGCTTAGGGAACTGGGCATGTTTAGCCTGAAGAAAAGAAGGCTGAGAGGAGATATGATAGCCATGTATAAATATGTGAGAGGAAGCCACAGGGAGGAGGGAGCAAGCTTGTTTTCTGCTTCCCTGGAGACTAGGACGCAGAACAATGGCTTCAAACTACAAGAAAGGAGATTCCATCTGAACATGAGGAAGAACTTCCTGACTGTGAGAGCCGTTCAGCAGTGGAACTCTCTGCCACGAGTGTAGTGGAGGCTCCTTCTTTGGAAGCTTTTAAACAGAGGCTGGATGGCCATCTGTCAGGGGTGATTTGAAATGCAATATTCCTGCTTCTTGGCAGGGGGTTGGACTGGATGGCCCATGAGGTCTCTTCCAACTCTTTGATTCTATGATTCTATGATTCTATGAAAGTGCATTGAGAGGACAAGTTTATGCTGAAATGGTCATGATATGGGGATTTGTTGCTTATTCACAATAGCAAGCTTTTCCTAAAGGCTGACAAGGTGGGTGCTTGCCTAATCTCCCCAGGTAGTGAGTTCCAAAGCTGGGGGGCCACCACTGAGAAGGCTCTCTCTCTCATCCCCAGAAGCCGCACTTGCGACGGGGGTGGGAGCGAGAGGAGGGCCCCCCTGGAAGATCAAAGTGGTCATGCAGGTTCGTAGAAGGAAATGCGGTTGCAAAGGTAGGGGGGTCCCAAACTGTTCAGGGCTTTGTAGGTGATAACCTGCATATCAGATATTGACATTACGATTCATAACAGTATTATTTATTTATTTATTTATTTATTTACAGTATTTATATACCGCTTTTCTCACCCCTAGGGGGACTCAAAACGGTTTACACATAGATAATGGCAAAAATGCAATGCCTTACAACTACAATAGTAAAACCAATCATATTAAAAACAGTACATCAACAAATATCAAAACAGTTATTAAAACCATAAAACAATCTCATCAGTTGAGTCGCCGTTCCAGTCCTTGTCCCACTAAAAGCTGCATACATCTATTGTCCGAAGGCCTGGTTCCAGAACAATGATTTTAATTTTTTTCTAAAGGTCAGGAGCGAGAGAGCAGATCTTACCTCCTTTGGGAGTGTGTTCCATAGGTGGGAGGTCACAGCTGAGAAGGCCCTGTTCCACGTCCCCGCCAGCCGCATTGACGGGAGCGAGAGCAGGGCCTCCCTGGATGATCTTAAATTGCGAGGTGGGATGCAGGGGCAGATGCGTTTGGACAAGTAAGCTGAGCCTGAACCGTATAGAGCTTTATAGGTCAAAACCAGCACTTTGAATTGGGCTTGGAGATGGACCGGCAGCCAGGAGCTTGCATAACATGGGGTTGGTATGCTCCCTGTATGTCTCCCCAGTTAGTAATCTGGCAAAATTACAGTTATGAAGTAGCAACAAAAATAATTTTATGGTTGAGAGTCACCACAACATGAGGTGACCCCCACGTCGTGGCATTCGGAAGCTTGAGAAACACTGGATTTAGAGGAACCACTCAGTGGGAGACGTCACAGTTTCCTCAGTTTTCACCCACAATCCAGGTGAAATCCCTTTTGCATGCCAGCTGTGGGTAGACCAACTTAGTCCCTTCCACTAAGTCAGCTATTGCTGCTGGAGACCCCGGTGGCGCAATGGGTTAAACCCTTGTGTGGGCAGGACTGAAGACCGACAGGTCGCAGGTTCGAATCTGGTGAGAGCGTGGTTGAGCTTCCTCTATCAGCTCCAGCTCCTCATGCACAGACACTAGAAAAGCTTCCTACAAGAATGGTAACACATCAACACATCCAGGTGTCCCCTGGGCAACGTCCTTGCAGACGGCCAATTCTCTCACACCAGAAGCGACTTGCAGTTTCTCAAAACTAACAAAATGAAGTTCAACGGACAAATGCAAGATACTCCACTTAGGCAGGAAAAACGAAATGCAAAGATACAGAATGGGGGACAATGCCTGGCTCGAGAGCAGTACGTGTGAAAAAGATCTTGGAGTCCTCATGGACAACAAGTTAAACATGAGCCAACAATGTGATGTGGCGGCAAAAAAAGCCAATGGGATTTTGGCCTGCATCAATAGGAGGCATAGTGTCTAGATCTAGGGAAGTAATGCTACCCCTCTATTCTGCTTTGGTTAGACCACATCTGGAATAGTGTCCAATTCTGGGCACCACAATTCAAGAGAGATATTGACAAGCTGGAATGTGTCCAGAGGAGGGTGATTAAAATGAAGGGTCTGGAGAACAAGCCCTATGAGGAGCGGCTTAAGGAGCTGGGCATGTTTAGCCTGAAGAAGAGAAGGAGATGATAGCCATGTATAAATATGTGAGAGGAAGCCACAGGGAGGAGGGAGCAAGCTTGTTTTCTGCTTCCCTGGAGACTAGGACGCAGAACAATGGCTTCAAACTACAAGAGAGGAGATTCCATCTGAACATGAGGAAGAACTTCCTGACTGTGAGAGCCGTTCAGCAGTGGAACTCTCTGCCCCGGAGTGTGGTGGAGGCTCCTTCTTTGGAAGCTTTTAAACAGAGGCTGGATGGCCATCTGTCAGGGGTGATTTAAATGCAATATTCCTGCTTCTTGGCAGGGGGTTGGACTGGATGGCCCATGAGGTCTCTTCCAACTCTTTGATTCTATGATTCTAATCTCCAATTTGACCAAAAAAAAAAAAAAAAAAAAGCTATTGCTGCTGTTGCAATGTAAATTGGTAGAAAGGTAGGCAATTATCATGTGAATAATCAACATTTGGTGGAGATTATGCTTGCAGTTCTGGAAGGACTCAAATTTTTGGTTCTTATAGACTTGGCTGGGGGATTTGGTGAATCAATTAAAATTCAGAAGTAAACCAGGCTTTTTTTTTTTTTTTGAACCTGAAAAAATTGGGAGGTTGGTTTGAACCCCTCAAGTGCCCCCTTGGCTACGGGCTTGCTGGAAAGAGAAACTCTCCTGGGGCTGCACTGCCCTGGCTCAGTGCTCAATATAATAGGCCCTCTTGGGGAAGAGAAGGCCCAGGGCCTTGCCAAATGACAACTCCCAGCATCCATAGCCATGTCAAACTGCATCCATTCTCCAGAGTAAATACAGGCCAGGAGGGGGCGATGGGTGGATCCCTCACTGTCAGGATTCAATTCCAGAGCCGAGAGGGTTAAGCTTTTCTGTTCCGCCTCCCTCTCCCCCTCCCCTTTCCCCCCCAGATTTAGGAGCCATTGCTTCTATGGGCTGGATCCGGATCAGGATCAATGGGAGGTAAGAAGGGGTTCCTTTGGGGGAAGGTTGCCATGTGCCCACCCAGGCAAGGTTCCTGTGCCTTTAAGGCAGCCACTTCCAGCTGTCAAGAGGCTTTAAAGGCACAGGTGCCTGGCACGTAATAAACAAACTGGGCAGGGCCTCTGCTTATCTATCTAGCTGTCTGTCTGTCTGTCTGTCTGTCTATCTATCTATCTATCTATCTATCTATCTATCTATCTATCTATCTATTTATCTATCTATCTATTCATCTATTCCAATACCTTCTCTCTTATCTTTCATGTAAGCTTACCTTACCTATCTTACCTTACCTATCTCCTTGTCTCTTATCAGCTGATCTTGTCTATTCTAATAACTTCTCTCTCTCTCATCTTTTATATCATCTATCAATCTATTCTCATCTATCGTCTTGTCTATCGATTTATCTATCTGACCTGTCATCTATCTCTCTAGCTATCTTATCTGTCAGATAGAGAAGGTGATCGACAGATAAGATAGACAGAAGACAGGTAAGATGATCGATAGAATAGAATACAATCTATTTTCTCTGCCTATCAATCCGTTTCCCTGCCTACTCCATTTATCTATCATATAATTATATATTACATGTAATATTACTAAAAATATTACAGTATAGTGGTATGGTACAATATAATAATGTATAATGCTAATATTGTGTTATGCTAATAATATAATATATTGTATATACATATAATATTAATAATAATATTAAAATGTAATACAATATACTACTACTACTAATAACTTATTTTTTTGTTGTGTCAGGAGCGACTTGAGAAACTGCAAGGCACTTCTGGTGTGAGAGAATTGGCTGTCTGCAAGGATGTTGCCCAGGGGACGCCCTGATGTTTTGATGTTTTACCACCCTTGTGGGAGGCTTCTCTCATGTCCCCACATGGGGAGCTGGAGCTGACAAAGGGAGCTCATCCGCCCTCTCCCCGGATTCGAACCTCCGACCTGTCGGTCTTCAGTCCTGCCAGCACAGAGGTTTAACCCTTCACCACCGGGGGCTCCTATAATAATATTTATTATATATTACATGCAATATTACTAATAATATTAGTATAGTGGTATGGTACAATATAGTAACATATAATGCTAATATTGTGCTATGCGAATAATATATAATATATTGTATATACATATAACTTGTAAGCCACTCTGAGTCCCCTTTGGGGTGAGAGGGCGGGGTATAACTGTAGTAAATTTATATATATATATATATGTGTGTGTGTGTATATATAAATTTACTACAGTGCGTGTGTGTGTGTGTGTGTGTGTGTGTGTATATATATATATATATATATATATATATATATATATATATATAATTCTCTCCCCCCACTTTCTCTATCTTTCTCAGTTGATGTATCTATCTTACTTGTCATCTGTCTATCCATCCATCTATATATCTCATCTATCCTATCTATTTATCTATCTATCTATCTATCTATCTATCTATCTATCTCTATCTATCCACCCACCATCATTTGTATCTCATCCATTCGGAAAGTCTTCAACTGTTGCTGGACTTCCACTCCCAGCATCCCCAGTCCATATCACCAGTGGTGAGGAATGATGGGAGTTGTTGCTCAGCAGGGCCTGGAAGGCCTGAGAAACCACCAGGCTTTCTTGGGAAGGGACCAGTGTGGTCCTTGTGCCGGGCCTTTCTAGTGCCCATGCCCAGTTTGCCAGGCCGCCATGGCAACGCCTGGGCTGCGGCTGATTTGCATTCTTTGCCCAGCACATTGTGGGCAGCATTTGCATACAATTTGCATGAAGGAGCCGGACAGGGAAGGCATGCACTGGCATATTGCGTCTGTGGGAGGATGAGGATGATTATGATTATGATTATTTAATTTCACTTGACAACTCTTTGCTCCTGCCCTTTCTTGTGATCGTGTGCCAACTTCCTAGGCTGTAACTATTCCAGCTGTTTGCAGGCCTGAATGGTTCCAAGGGGCCACTGTCTTGTGCGTTTGGGTCAATTAGGCTCCTTTGTGCCACAATTTTCTTTCTTATGTTCAAGGTGCTTTCCAAGGGGCCGAATGCCAACCTCCTCATGGGATCAGCACCCTGGAGAGGGCCTCTTATGCCATTCCAGGCCCACAATGGCTTCTCCATCCCGCTTGGCGAGGGGTGGGGGGTGGCTGGGCTGCCCAGACCTTTCCCAAGAAGCAGGACATGCTGGGAAGAAGAGGCAACATTTGCATACCGCATGGATGCCAGGCCCTGATTTGCATCAGCCACATGCAAATAGCCAGCTTTGGAAGCTGGTGTTTACCTCTTCCTTTTTCTCTCTCAGGTGACGGAGCTGCAGAGGGAGGTCTCTCCTTGGTGGCACCAGGGCTGCCTACGAAGCGGGCACAGTGCCGCCCCAAAAAGCCCACGGACTGAATGCCTTCTCAGGTTGGCACGGCTTCAAGGAGAACAACATGGCTGGGGCTGCTGGGTCTCTTCCTCAGGTAGGTGACACAGCTGGCAAAGATTTGCCATTCCCATGGTGCCCTCCATCCCAATGTGTTCCTGCTGCTTTAAAGTGTCCTGGCTAGTCTCCCACTTTCCTCCTTCGCCCTTGCCTTGTTTCAATGGATGCAAATGGAGCTCCCAAATGGCTGGCTTGTGTCTTCTGCCTATGCAACGAACCCCGTGCCCCATTTGCCCCTCTTACAGGAGCCGCTGACTTTTGAGGATGTGGCCATTGCCTTTGCACCCAAGGAGTGGGCACAGCTGGCGGGTTGGCAGAAGGCACTCTACCAAGAGGTGATGCGGGACAACTATGAGACCCTCCGCTCTTTAGGTAACTAATAGCCCTTGCTTGGCCTAGTTGCCCTCTTTCGACATGTGTTCTGGATTTCAGTCTGCTCAGCATCAGGTGGCAGAATGCATTGGACATGCTTGTCTTGCAGACTGCAACTCCCAACATGCTGAACAGGGGATTCAGGGGGCTGTAGTCTCCTGGGACTGTGGAATTGTGGGACATGCTTCTGTCTCCTGGGACTGTGGAATTGTGGGACATGCTTCTCTGCCTAGACCTCGCCAATCACAAGCCGGAGATCCTCCTGCGGATGGAACGGGGAGAGGAGCCCTGGAGCAGTGAAGGCCAGGATGCCAAGGGCAGTGAGGCCTCGAACCTGGACTGTCTGGGTAAGTCTACCTGGGTATTCATCTCAACCCAAAGATCATGGGGCTGGCATGCAGTCATCCCTTTGGGTGGGAAATATGGATCCGATACTTCAGGGCATAGGGTTGTGGGCCCCTCTGATGTCTTGATGCCACCCTCAGTACCTGGCAATTGTCCACTTGGGGCAACAGTCATTCTGGTCCTCTATAACTGGCCTGTTGTCTCTCCTTGCAGGAGTGGGCCAAGTCCAGATCAAGACGGAATCAAACCTGGAAGAAAACCCCATTGGCCTGCCATGCCATGCTGGGCACCTGAAGGCTTTGAAGGGCAGCCAGGAGGATGGCACCCTTTGCAAGTTGCCCCCTTGGCCTGAGCTCAACGCCGGTGGAGTGTCTGCCTTGGAGCAATGGCCAACCCAGCTCTGGTGGCCAAACTGTGCCATAGGCAGGCAAGTGGCCCCAATGGCATTCCAAGCCTTCTGGCCCACAGAGAGTGCCCCAGAGGAGATGCTGCTGATTTGCACCCATTGCCAGAAATGCTTCCCTGCCCGTCCCGCGGGTGCAGGGGGTGCTGCGCAGCTCTGTCTCGAGTGCGAAAGGGGCCTCACAAAGGCCCTGCCCTGTACCTGTGCCCACTGCTTGCCACCTCGGCCAAGACCCCCCAGGGAGGAGCGACCCTACAAGTGCACCAAGTGTGAGCGCAGCTTCCGCTTTGCTCATGAATACACCTGGCACCAGAAGGTCCATGCTGGGGAGAAGAGCTACAAGTGTGGGGCCTGTCAGAAGGTTTTTCGCCACAAGCAGGAGCTCAGCTGGCACCAGCGGGCACATGCTGCCGAGTGGCCCCATCAGTGCACCACCTGCCAGAAGCACTTCCGCTTCAAGCAGGAGCTGGCCTGGCACCTTAAGAGCCATGCGGCTGAGCGGCCCTACAAGTGCCCTGAGTGCGAGAAGAGCTTTCGCTTCAAGCAGGAGTTCATGTGGCACCAGCGGGCGCATGTGGGCGACCGGCCCTACAAGTGCCCCGAGTGCGAGAAGAGCTTCCGCTTCAAGCAGGAGTTTGCCTGGCACCAACGCAGCCACTCGGGTGAGAAGAGCTACAAGTGCCCTGGCTGTGACAAGAGTTTCCGCTACAAGCAGGAATTTGTGTGGCACCAGCGGATCCACACCGGGGAGCAGCCCTATCCATGCGCCTCCTGCAACGCCACTTTCACCTGCCGCCAGGAGTACATGCGCCACCAGCGTCTCCACGATGGTGAGAAGCCCTACCAGTGCCCTCACTGCGAGAAGACTTTCCGGCGCGGTTCCACCCTCATCCGCCACCGGCGCCTCCATGCGAGTGAGGAGCCCCTCAAGTGTGCCCACTGTGAGCGCACCTTTGGCCAGAGTGCCCACCTTGCCAAGCACCAGCGAATGCATATGCTGAAGGGCAACTCTGGCGAGGAGGCCATTGCGGCGGTGTGGGGTCCCTGTTTGCCAGCATCGGGGGCAGCCCTTCCCCCAGAGGGCATGAACATCCTGAGCTTGAAGACCGTCTCAGTGGGCACCCTGCTCTTACTCAACCTCCAGGACCCTAAAGTGGGCAAAGGGCCAACTGGCACCACCTGGCAAGCACCGGTGTGAATCTAAACTGGTAGCTGGAGAGTGATTGGCAGAGTGGCACAAACTTAGTGATGGAGCGAGTTGGTTTCTACCCTGGCAGGACCATGCTACCCTTTGGTGCAAGCAGGGACATGGCACTGACCCATGTTTTGATGCCAGGCAGTTGGAGAGAGCGGAACAGGATGGTTTCACTGGCCTTTGCCCAGGTTTGTGCCACAGCTTGGCACTGGTAGGATCATGACAAGTGCTTCATTGGCACATTTAAAACAGAACAAACCTTCAAGGCACCTCTTCCAGGGGATTGGACATGTGGGTGTCACACAATGGCACCTCATTTCTTCATGTCTCCTTTCCTGGCATCATAATCCAAGGGGCATTTCCTAGGCCACAACGGGCACCGATTCTTCTGGAACGTGGCGGGTATAAACCAGCCTTGTTCTTCATCCTGGATTCCTATACCAGCAGCGGGTCAGACTAGATGCCCCGTGGTACCCCTTCCAATACCATGTTGAATCCAGAAACCCTTTGATTTCCTGCATTTCTGTGACATCTCTCTGGGTTGTCATCTTCCTATATTCTCCTTGTGTTAGAACAAAGTGTCATGAAATATGCAATATTTTAAAATGTCAGCAGAGCAACAACACCAATAACAAAATATGGACTTTCTCAAGCTCATGCCTGTTTGGAGACTGAGAATCAGCACTTTGGAGAAGGCCTTGAACTATCCGTGGTGCTGAAGCCTATCCATTCAGTAACAACCAGCCTTTCTTGCACCTTTGGGCTAAAACCTGGACCAGATTGGCCAAGCTGCTGACATGGACTTTGGCAGAAGACAATGCTGTGATTTCCCTCTTCTAATGTAATTGTATCCGCGAGCGCATTGTGTGCCTGCCCAGGCAGAGACCTGTGTCTTCTAGTTTTATTATTTGCCTGTTAAAGTGCCTAAGGCAGTCCTGAGACCTGTTTTCATATTTTGCAAATATATATATATATATATATATATATATATATAATAAAAACACCTGCACATGCTCAGAGACCTCCTCCTCTAGGACTACGGAGGACACCGCTCCAACTCTAGCTCTCTGCACATGCTCACATACCTCTAAGAATATGGGAGACTCCGTTGTGGTTGTAGCATGGGGTGGCTCTCTGTACATCCTCAAATACTGCCTATGATTCTATGCACGCTTCTCACCAGCAGATGGTACCAGGGAGCTCCCTTCAGCTCTAAGAGCCCACTTTTCCTTTTAAAAAAAAATAACATTAGCCTTTCCACTCAAGAGAGGCTTCCATGGGGGCAATCAATCTGCTCCGGGTTTCAGTCTGAATCGACAAGGTGAATAGATTACATGATGTTCCTGCCACTCAAAGGTTTTTGCGGTCAAGCAGGAATTGGAAGCTAAGTCTCCTAGAGTCTATTATTATTATTATTATTATTATTATTATTATTATTATTATTATTATTATATTATGGCCTCAGCATTGGACATTCCTTTTGACTCATAAGGGAGAGCAAAAAAGCAACTGAACATAACAATAATACAATGATTATATTAATTATTATTATTATTATTATTATTATTATTGCACGAAGAACTGCAGCCTCAGCACCAAACCTTTGACCCATAAGGGAGAGCAAATAGCAACTGAAAATAATAATAATAATAATAATAATATATAAATTACTATGTTGTTATTATTATTGTTATTGTTGTTGTTATTAATATGGTATGAAGAACCACAGTCTCAGCATCAGACATTCCCTTTGACCCATAAGGGAGAGCAAAAGCAACTGCAAATAATAATAATAATAAGATGATAATGATATAAATTATTATTATTATTATTATTATTATTATTATTATTATGGTACAAAGAACCACAGTCTCAGCATCAGACATTTCCTTTGACCCATAAGAAGAAGAAGAAGAAGAAGAAGGTGATAATGATGATATAAATAATTATATTATGTTACATTATTATTATTATTATTATTATTATTATTATTATTATTATTATTATTATTATTATGTTCAGTTGGTTTTTACTCTCCCTTATGGATCAAAGGCAATGTCCAATGCTGAGACTGCAGTTCTTTGTGCAATAATAATATAATATTAAATATTATATGTTATATTATATATTATATATTATATTATTAATAATAATATAATAATAATTTATGTCATATTCTTATTATTTCACAAAGAACTGCAGTCTCAGCATCAGACATTCCCTTTGTTCCATAAGGGAGGCAAAAACCAACTGCACAGAATAATAATAATTATTGTTATTGTTATTGTTATTGTTATTATTATTATTGTTATTATTATTATTATTATTATTATTATTATTATTATGGCATGAAGAACCACAGCCTCGGCATTGGATATTCCCATTGACCCATAAGGGAGAGCAAAAGCAACTGCAAATAATAATAATATAAATTATATTATAACACCGGTGCTAGCATGGTGTTTTGAGATGGTTTAAAACAACTGATTTTAAAGTTGATATAACTGATTTTAGTGTTTGTGCATATTTATAGCTATTTTATATTCCAGCATGGAATGCTTGCCGTATATATGTTGTGCTCTACGCTTAGTCCCCTTCGGGGTGAAAAAGGCCAAATATAAATGTATCAGATAAATCAAAATAAATAATAATATGTTGTTATAATAATAATAATAATAATAATAATAATAATAATAATAATAATAATAATTATTATTATTATTATATGTTATTCTAATATTATGATTGTATTATTATATTATGTTATTTATTATAATTATTATATTATGTTATTCTAATATTATGATTGTATTATTATCATTATCATTATTAATGATTTTCTGTTGTTCTTTGCACATGCCCTCTGCTCTCCCTTCTGGGTCAAAGGGAATGTCTGCTTCCAGAGATTAGAGCGGCAGCATGAAGCCAATGCTGAGCCTACGGTTCTTCATGCCAAGGGAGGGTGAGGGGTGCACGAATGCTTGTTTTTCTCCCTGGCTGGGTGTTGGCCACCCAAAGGAAGCCTCCTAAGTGTTTCTCCAGGTCTATCCTGCCTTGACCCCCTTGGCAACACAATGCTAGGAAGCTGAGGGGGGAAGTGTGTGCTTTTCCCTTCTTCCTCCTCCTCCTCCTCCACCCTCCTTGGCTCAATTCATCCTGCGTTGTCGAATCTGCTCTCCCTATGACCTCTCTAGGCCAAGTCTGTGCCAATTTCCCCAATTGGGGAATGCAGGCCAAGGTGCCCTCAAGGTGCCCACACGGTGCCATGGAACCTGGGCCCAAGTTGGCATGGTGGAGCTATCACGCTGGGTAGGTATCCCCTTATTGGAATGTGGCCCCTTGGTGCCAACGTCTTGTTTTCAGTGCAGAAAATGGCATTGGTTTTGGTGTTTCAATCATCAAACAAGAACTGCAAAGATCTTCCAACTATCTTTCCATCCCTAGCTTCTCTTGTAGGAATGTATTATTATTGTAAACAACCACACTGTTTAAAATCTCCAGCATATCAATATTAAATGGTTGAACAGAAGCCCTCCAAAGCTTTAGGCGCTCTTACTGCTATTACAGGGAAAACCAACTACTACTGGTTTTACAGAGATTCCTAACCCATCTAAAATGCAGATGTGTGATTTTCACCTTAAGAACAGACAAGCATTTTGAGCTCTGAGGATAATAATAGTAATAGTAATAGTAATAGTAATAATAATAATAATAATAATAATAATAATAATAATAATAATAATAATATATTTTGAACCCACCTCCCTTGGGAAGGAATCCCACTGGAGCATTGCAGCACCTCAAAATACCTGGGAGTCGCTCTGGACCATGCTCTGACCATGCTCTGATAGTCAAGCACTGCTTGACTATCAAGCAAAAAGTGGATGCTAAAAGTAATATCATATGAAAGCTGACTGGCACAACCTGGGGATCACAACTAGACACAGTGAAGACATCTGGCCTTGCGCTTTACCACTCTGCTGCTGAGTACGCATGCCCATTGTGGAATACATCTCACCACATTAAAACAGTGGATGTGGCTCTTAATGATACATGCCACATTATCACAGGATGTCTACACCCTACGCTGCTGGAGAAATTACACTGTTTAGCTGGTATTGCACCACCTGACATCCTTCTGGAAGTAGCAACCATCAATGAAAGGACTGAGACAATGACATCTCCACCCCATCCTTTGTTCGGATATAAGCCAGCAAGCCTTAAATCAAGAAACAGTTTCCTAAAATCCAGAGATACTCGCAGGAACACCTCAGCAAGTGAGAGTCCAAAAGTGGCAGGCTAAAACCTGGAACCTCAATCAGCGGCTAATACCGGATGAGAAGCTCCTTCCTGGACACACAGAAGACCGGGCAACTTGGAAGGCGCTGAACAGTCTGTACTCTGGCACCACGAGATGCAGAGCCAACCTTAAGAAGTGGAGTCCACAACATGCACGTCTGGAGAAGAGTAAACCACAGCCCACGTATTACAGTGTTTCTCAACCTTCCTAATACCGCGACCCCTTAATACAGTTCCTCATGTTGTGGTGACCCCCAACAATAAAATTATTTTCATTTCTACTTCATAACTGTAAGTTTGCTACTGTTATGAATCGTAATGTTAATATCAGATAGGCAGGATGTATATTCATTCACTGGACTAAATTTGGCACAAATACCCCATACACCTAAATTTGAATACTGGTGGGGTTGGAGGGGGTATTGATTTTGCCATTTGGGAGTTGTAGTTGCTGGGATTTATAGTTCACTTGCAATCAAAGAGCATTCTGAACTCCACCAATGATGGAATTGAACCAAACTTGACACACAGAACTCCCATGTTGAAGAGAAAATACTGGAAGGGTTTGGTAGCATTGACCTTGGGTTTGGGAATTGTAGTTCACCTACATCCAGAGAGCACTGTGGATTCAAACAGTGATGGATCTGGACCAAACTTGGCACAAATATGCAATATGCCCAAATGTGAACACTGGTGGAGTTTGTGGAAAACATTTAGGAGTTGCTGGGATTTATAGATTTTCATCCCCACAACCCACTGGTGGTCCACGGCCCACAGGTTAAGAACCACTAGTCTAGAGGATGTTCTTGCCCTTCAAATCTGTTTTTAGAAAGAATGGGGTGTGTGGGAGGGATGGGGCACCACTGACTCTGCCTGAAGTAGTGTGCCAAAGTACACCTCTTTATCTAGTTCACTTACAACCAAAGAGCATTCTGAACTCCACTGACAGAATTGGCTGAAACTTCCCACACAGAACCCCCATAACCAACAGAAAATACTGTGTTTTCTGATGGTCTCTGCAACCCCTCTGACAACCCCTCGTGACCCCCCAGAGGTCCCGACCCCCAGGTTGAGAAATGCTGTCCTCTTACAATGCAGCCCGAGCCCTGCCACATGCACAGCAGAGACACTCCAAGTGGCCAGCGACTGGTCAAAAGACATTTAGTGTAATGCCAAGTTTTTTAAAGTTTGTGCTTTTTAAATACATTACAACTGTATCCTCAGTTCACTTATGACACGATAAATAAATAAAAATATATAGTGCAATCATAATATTACCTGCCTCTCCTATCCGTACCTTCCTTGCTCACCAAGCTGAATTCTTAGATAGCTAAATGCTACCCTTGGGACGGATGTCTCCATCAACAGGCGAGTCTCCATCTGTTTTTCGTAAAGGCCCCAAAGCTCCATGGCTGGAGGATGTGTTTATTTTGATGCCGGGGTTCCCAAGTGATCTGGCCTGCAATTGAGAGATCCTGCGAGATAAACAGGATCTCTCAGGCCTCACACCGATAAGAATGAGATTGGCCAGAGCCATGGGGCACATGGATGGGAAACCTAACTGAGCATAAGGCATTGAATGGAAGCATGCTGCGGTGGACATCTCGACCCCTGGGTTCGCCCTCCTGGATGCTGGGATATGCAACCGGCCTTTGGGCCTCCAGCAGAGGATGCTGTGCCCTGAGCATCATTCAGGAGGAAACAGGTTTTGCACCCCTGTCATAAAAAGGAATCTGGATGAACTCTTTTTGAAACCAGATCCAACTCCTCCAAGGGAAACAACAACAGGCAAGGATGGGAAAGGTGTCTGCCGGCATCCAAGTCTGCCCTGACATCTTCCCGTTTGTTGCCCTTTCCTGACCTATTTGTTATCTCTGCCTCTGAGAATAAAAAAAAAGGATCCTTTTGGGGGGAAAGGACAAGTCCCAACATCCTCCACCAAACCAGTGTTCCACAAACTTCAAGCCTCTATGCCAGTGTTTCTCAACCTTCCTAATGCCGTGTCCCCTTAATACAGTTCCTTATGTTGTGGTGACCTCCAACCACAAAAGTATTTTAATTGCTACTCAAAACTGTAATTTTGCTACTGTTATGAATTGTCATGTAAATATCTGATGTGCAGGATATATTTTCATTCACTGGACCAAATTTGGCACAAATACCCAATACGCTCAAATTTGAATACTGGTGGGGTTGGGGGATTGATTTTGTCATTTGGGAGTTGTAGTGGCTGGGATTTATAGTTCACCTACAATCAAAGAGCACTCTGAACTCCACCAATGATAGAATTGAACCAAACTTGACACACAGTACTCCCACAACCAACATAAAATACTGGAAGGGTTTGGTGCGCATTGACCTTGAGTTTGGGAGTTGTAGTTCCCCTACATCCCGAGAGCACTGTGGACTCAAAACAATACGCCCAAATATGAACACAGATGGAGCTTGGGGAAAATAGACCTTGACATTTGGGAGTTGTAGTTACTGGGATTTATAGTTCACCTACAATCAGAGCATTCTGAACCCCACCAACGATAGAATTGGGCCAAACTTCCCACACAGAACCCCCATGACCAACAGAAAATACTGTATTTTCTGATGGTCTTTGGCGACCCCTCTGACACTCCCTCGCAACCCCCCAGGGGTCTCGACCCCCAGGTTGAGAAACGCTGCTCTATGCCAATGTAAGTGAAAACCTGCTCCAGATTTTATTCCGAACTCTAAAGGATGTATCAGGTGCCAGACCGGATTGAGGAACATAGTTCAGTGCCTGTCAGCCTTTCAGGTTTGGGCTCTGACCTACGGAGGTGGGTAGGAGCAGAGTTTGGGCAGGAAAGGATTTGAGTGGAGGGATTCTGGGAGCTGAAACCTTCCCCAAAGCACCTTTCCCACGGCCAGGGTTTGAGGCCAGCTATTTGGAGAGGCTGCTCATCTTCCTGTAGGATCCTTCTTAACAAAGGAAGCTGGGTGCGCCAAGGCCACAAGAAGACCCAGAAGCGGAGACTGTTTTTTCCCCCCGACAGTTGGGAGTCAGGCCAAGAAGAAATGTTATTCATAACAGGGCAAGGCTGGGCCACAGAATGGTCTGGACCTAGGCTCAACTGAAAGAGAAGTGGGGGCAAATTTGGTTTGTTGCAGGCGCCCAAAATTTATCCCGAAAGGCAATGGAGGAATGCCAGGCCAGGCCCCCAAGCTCGCCCTCCTTCCTCTGATCCAGGTGCGAAGCCAAAGGACAGTCAGGTGTGAGCCCCAAATGACAGGTTTCCGGGAGGAATGCCCACAGGGCAAGTCACACCTGGTTCCCTGGTTCCCGGCCGAGATTGCAATCGTCCTGAGGAGGGGGCACAGCTATTGAGGGATTAAGGCTGGCCTCCGGAGGCCATTGTCCTGTGCAGAGGGAGAGGCGAGCTTGGGCATGCCAGGGATTCCAACCAGGCATGGCTGCATTTGCCTTAGGCCAAGCCACCTTTCGGCTGCGTTGGACTACAACTGCCATCCTCCCCAGCCATCCTGGCCAACATGGCCTGAAATGCCATCATCACCCTTTTATGCCTGAAGTTACCACTTCACTGATAGGGTTTCCTTGGGCAAGGAATCCCTGGCAATTGCTTGTGCCATTTCCTTCTTATAAAATATCTTGGGGTTTTCAAGGCCTCCGAATAGCATCTGTCGTACTGGGTCTGTGCTCACCTTGCAATGCCAAGAATGAGTGCACCTTTGCTCCAGGCCAGGTCAAAGGATTTTCCACCCATGATGCCTGGTCGGTTTTGGGGAACCGCTTCGGCCTGAATGAGCAAAGAGGTTCCAAGGCCCATGCCATGCGTTGCCCTGATGAATGGCGCATCCATCCTGGAAAATTCCCAGCACTGGCAGAACAGGGTCCTCCCTTGTTTCCTCTCCCTCCTCTGTGAATCCTCCTTCTGTCTTTAGGGGGGCAGTGCCCACAATGGGAAGCGGGCAAGGCAGCCACTGCAGAGGCAAAGCCCCCGAGAAAGGCAGTTCTTAGCAACTCTCTGCTTAGGGATGCTGGGCATTGTCATCCATGAGGGGAACACTTCCAAGCTCTGCAGCCAGAAGACATTTTGGAGAGGGGAGGGGTTGGGGGCAAAGGTGGGAAAATTCACCCCTTTTGCCACAAATTCGCCCCATTTGCCAAATCCTGTCTGAGTTTTATTGACTGAAGGGTGCAAATGTCATGGTGGACTTTTGGGTTTGAAGATGGAAGGAACCCAGGCTGGAAAAAAAAAAGATAAATTGCCCTCAGGTGAAGAAAGGAGGGAGGCACAAGGATGGAGGAAGATGTTCAGAAGGTATCCTTTGTATTCTTCCTTCTAGAAGAAGAGGAGGGAGATTTGGGAAGGGGTTGAAGCTGGCATCCCTGCTGGTGGGTTCCAAAGGGTGCTTGCCTTGGAAAGAAACCAGGGGCGCTTCTCCCTTCCCCTGCCCTGCCCTGCCCTCCCTTTCCTTCCCAGCAAAGTGGGAGGGAAGGAGGCGGTGTTTCTTGGACGGCAGCCCTTTAAGAGCTCTGTCCCCAGACCCGGGCGCTTCCTTGGAGCAGGAGGAGGTGGGATGCCATTCCTTGCTTGCCAGACTGCCTGTCTGCTCTTTTGCCCTTGGAGGTGGGCTCCCATCGGCTGCCAGCTTGATGTCCGTCGGAAGTACACTCCAACTGCTTGCCCACCAGAGGTTTGCTGCTTGCCCACCAGAGGTTTGCTCGCTGCCAGAGGTTTGCTGTGATCGCCCACCAGTTTGCTCGCCAACTGCCGTCTCCCACCTGCCCACCATCAGTTAGCTTCGGCTGCCTGCCTGCCAGCTTACCAAATATCAGAAGTCGGCTGCCATCCTCCATCCACTGCCAACTTCCTTGCTGTGACTGTGATTGCCTGCCTATCTATCAGAGCTTGGTTGTGATCACCCTGTTGCCCGTCAAAGGTTTGCTACAATTGCCCGCCTGCCAGCTTGTGTGCCATTAGAGCTTGGCTGTGATTGCCCACCTGCTTGCCAGGCACCTGACATTTGTTATAGCTTACCAACCAGCTTGAGGCCCATTGGAGTTGAGGACCGGCATCGGCATCCCTGCCATGGAGCACCCCTCGGAGCTGGGGGAGCTGTACTACTACTATGAGGAGGAGGAGGCCTCGGGGGGCAACTGGAGCAGCCTGCCAGGCCACCCGGAGCCCTGCGCCTGGGAGGTGGAGGAAGCTGAGACGGACTGGGAGGTCTCCTTCGCCCTCCTGCCGGCCCTCTACCTGCTGGTCTTTGTGCTGGGCCTCACAGGTAATGGCTTGGTGCTCCTGACCGTCTGGCGGGGCCCAGCGGGCAAGCGCCGTTCAGCTGACACCTATCTTGGCCACCTGGCGTTGGCTGACTTGGCCTTTGTGGTGACCCTGCCCCTCTGGGCAGCCTACACGGCCCTGCGCTTCCACTGGCCCTTCGGCACAGCCCTTTGCAAACTCAGCAGCTACCTGGTCCTGCTCAACATGTTTGCCTCAGCCTTCTGCCTGGGCTGCCTCAGCTTTGAGCGCTACCTGGCCATCGTCCATGCGTTGCCCCGTTCGGCTGGGCGTGGCGGGGTGGGCACTGGCTCCTCATCCTCAAGGCCCCGCCTAGGCACCCTCCTCTCACTGGGTGGTGTGTGGCTGATGGCGGGCCTCCTGGCCTTGCCGGCTTTGCTCCTTCGCGACACACGCCTCAGCCGACGGCGCTACGATGACGGGCACTCCTTTGATGGCAATGCCTCAGTGGGCACGGTGGTGGTGGTGGAGTGCGACATGGACTTCAGCGCCTTGGCATCCAGCCCCGAGGAAGAGGGCTACTGGCTGGCAGGCCTCAGCTTGGCCACCACAGCTCTGGGCTTTGCAGCCCCGCTGCTGCTCATGACTCTCTGCTACTGTGGTATTGGGGCTGCCGTCCGGCGCCACTTCCGCCCACGGGCTCCCCGACAACGAGATGAGGGGCGCCAGCGTCGTCGCTTGCTGCGCATCCTGGTGGCCCTGGTGGCGGTCTTTGCTGGCTGCTGGCTGCCCTTCCACCTGCTCAAGAGCCTCTATGTCTTGGCCTGGGTGGGCATCCTGGAGCTGCCTTGCCCTGGGCGGGCACTCATCTTACGCCTCCACCCCTATGCCACCTGCCTGGCCTACCTCAATAGCTGCCTCAACCCCTTCCTCTACGCCTTCTTCGACGGACGCTTCCGCGCCCAGTGCCGGCGTCTGCTCGGTCTCCGCCAGGCCCGGCGTCGAGGTGGGAGTGGCAGCGGTGCCGGCCAGGCTGCGGGCTCCATCTCCTCCACCCTCAGCGGGCAGACCCAGAAGTCCGAGGCCCCCTCCCTGGGCACCAAGGTCTGAGGGTGCTCCTTGGACAGCAGGCCCAAGCCAAGCCCCGCTGAGGCCTGCCTTGCCTGTTGCCCTGACCTGGGCATTTTTGGGGCATTCCTTTCCCATTCCTCTTTAGCCAGGTACCTGCATTCCTTGGCACTCCATTTTACCTTTCTTAGTAATGGCATCTTCATCATCTACATCTTCCAATGGACCCATGGCAGCCGATGCAGACATGGCAGCGGACATTTACAATATGTCAACATGTAAGGGGATTCTTATGAAGTATAGTGCCAGGGCGTTTGTCTGGAGCACGTAAGGACATTTCTAATATACGTCAGAAAGGTGAGCAACAATATTTTAGCCTGCCTGGTGGACGTGGGAAAAGCCGTTCCCTGTCGAAACGTTGGCATTTTCCTGGCATGCTCTCTCTGCTCTTCTTGGACCCCTCTTTTGACCCTTGTTTGGGCACCTTCATCCCTTTTGGGCAGGCCCCATTGGCGGGTGACCCCTTGGCCATCCATGAACAGACTGGTTCCTCAGGACAAAAAGAAAGAAAGAAAGACAATTCTTCCACTAAGAACTTAACTTTAGTGTTTTTATTTCCTGATTTTGGGCAGATGGGGCAGCCCAAAATTGGTTTGGGTTTCAAAAGTCAATGAGGGTTTCTCTCGAAGGAAGGGAGAGCTGGAACGGATGGGATGCTGCCCTCGGTTTCTCTGCCGCTTCCTTCCGCCTGTGCCCATCTCTCAAGGTACCCTTGCCCCTTTGGTGGCATCAGTCCATCTCTGTGTGGTTTACCCACTGAGACTGGCAGAAGGGCCAAGTGCAGGGGACTTTGGCTCTTGTGAGATTGCTGGACTCCAGGGTCAAGCAGCCAGATACCTGGCAGATGATTTGCTTGGTGCCATCTCTTTTCTTAGGCAGCAGCACCATCTACTGGCACAGCAGTTGCAATGCACCGAAGGGGTGCCAGACTTTGCGCCTGGGAAGAAAACACCCTCCCCCCACCCCAAACACACTTCTGCTTTTGGAAGCTAAGCAGGCCTGGGGTTGGTTTACCCCTCGATGGGAGGTCTCCAGGTAAGACTGAAACCTGCCAGAAACCTTGACAGAGCGCCCTGGGTGCCAGTCCAAGTTGGCAATACTGAGTTAAATGGATCTGACTGAGCGTTCCATAGCCCTCTTGTTGTCTGTGGACCGTAGCTCTTACTGCAGCCTGGCAGCATTGATGCTTGTGACTGTGGAAGGTGTAGGGGGTGAGTTGGGGAAGAGAAGAGGGCACCTCCCTTTCTTAGCCAGGTTTAGGCCTGGACCCTTTGTAGTTATTGTAGTCGGGTCTCTGAGCATGCAAGGAGTGTATTTCCCCATACAAACTCAACCTTCTTCCTCTCACCTGCACCAAAAAACAAAGGAAAAGAGATTCTGGCAGGACAAAAATGTGGAGGTGCTTTTGAACCCAAAGCTTGAGGTTGATCCCTCTCTTGTTTCTCAAAGTGCAAAATGAATGATTCTCAATGAGGAAAAGCAAATGGGGAGGGGAGGGGAGGGGAGGGGAGGGAGGGGGGACGGACAAGGACACGTATTTCCAGTACCTGTCTTTGACTTAACAGCCAATAAAAATATTTCCAATAACCTCGTGCAATCTTTGTTTTTCTCTTTGTATTCTGTGTGTCTCCCAGTTATTGCAGTGGTCACTTTGCACCACGGAAAGGAAGGGATGGGATTGTTCATTTGGTCAGTTTCGTCCCACTAATGCCCCTGTAGCTTTTGAATATCCTTAAAACAAACGCTACATAAATACAAACCAATGCTTGCAAATGCATAGGGGAAAAGTGAAGGATTAGGAGCCAATAGCTTAACAAAAGACTTGCTGTTGGTGGTAGTTTAGTGTAATTGGAGTGAAAGTTTGCCATGGTCTTCCTTTGAGAGAGTGGCACTCTGTGAATTTATTTTGCAATGCTGTTGTGCAATATTTATCTATGGTCCCACAGAATCCAAGGAAGGGGAACACTGACGTCGATGTAAATGGGCACCACAATTGAAGAGAGATATTGACAAGCTGGAATGTGTCCTGAGGAGGGCGACTAAAATGATCAAGGGTCTGGAGAACAAGCCCTATGAGGAGCAGCTTAAGAGCTGGGCATGTTTAGCCTGAAGAAGAGAAGGCTGAGAGGAGACATGATAGCCATGTATAAATATGTGAGAGGAAGTCACAGGGAGGAGGGAGCAAGCTTGTTTTCTGCTGCCCTGGAGACTAGGATGCGAAACAATGGCTTCAAAGTACAAGAAAAGAGATTCCACCTGAACATTAGGAAGAACTTCCTGACTGTGAGAGCTGTTCAGCAGTGGAACTCTCTGCCCCAAAGTGTGGCGGAGTCTCCTTCTTTGGAAGCTTTTAAGCAGAGGCTGGATGGCCATCTGTTGGGGGTGCTTTGAATGCAATTTTCCTGCTTCTTGGTAGGTTGTTGGACTGGATGGCCCATGAGGTTTCTTCCAACTCTATGATTCTATGTAAATGCCGCTGATTCAGTGGATTAACTCTAGTGGGCTCAGATATAGGAATCATCGCATCCTAGAGCTGGAGAGGACCCCAAAGGCCATCTGGCCTAAGCCCATTCTGCCAGGCAGGAAGACACAATAATCACTCTCCTGAAAAATGCCCATAATCCAGCCTGTAAAGACCTCCAAAGGAGACTCCATGGCTTTCCAAGGCAGTCCACAATCCACTAGAGTTGGAAGGGAACCCCAATGGTTATGTAGCCTGACCCATCAAGCAAGAATACACAACTAGACTTCCCAAAAGACATCCCTCCAACCTATTCTACAGTATGACCTTTAAAGAAGGGTAATTCCAAAAATCTCAAACTGCTCTTAAGAGTGAAGCACCTCTTCCTTAAATTGAGGTGGAATCGAAGACAGAAAGGGAGGCGTGATTTAGTTCTGATGGAAACTGGGGTTTAAATGTTCCCAAATGTGGAGGAGAATGAAGGCGGGCAGCTGGCATGGGCACAGAAGGATGGGCACAAGGCAAAACAGAAGGGGGTTGTTCCTTGCTTTGCCTGGGAACCGTGCCCCGTCGGACACCTGCGGGCGTCCATTTTGCCTGCGTGGCATCGCTTCCCAAGGGAGCCGCCAGAATCAAGAGCCGGCCAACAAGGCCCCTGTGTCCCAACGCAGCCGGGAAACTTGGCAAGCCTCCCCTGAGTTTGGCCCTGGCCAGGCAAAGGCAAGGGGATGCCTTCCTGGCATGGGGGAGAGTGCTGCAGCTGAGAAAGCCCCCTCTCCTTAGACAGCTGCAGAGACCCAAAGGACAAGACTGGCACAGATGCCAGGCGGGGGTTCAAGGGGGTTGCTGTGGCAACACGGGGCTGGGGCACCCCTCGAAACTCAGGTTGAATCATGAATGGCAGCGCTTGCCCGCCTTTGACCAGTGTAGGGCTTTTGTGGCCAGCTGCACCTCCTTGGCAGCACACAAAAGGGGCACAGTGATGAAGCGGGGCAAGGGGGGGCGCCTCAGTGGCAATGCCCAGCTGGCAGCAGGGGGAAGATTGGCAGGAGAGAGTCAATCCATCAGTGTGAGGTGTCCTTTCACCCATGAGGCCTTCCTCTAGGTCTGTGCCGCTGATGAAGGGCAACCTCATTCCATGTTAGAAGGGTTTCTCGGGCAAGTGATATTCCCAGATCCAAGTCCCAACCAGGCCTTATCCATGCTTAGCAAAGGAAAGACAGCTTGGCACTAGCAATGCCTCAGGTGCCAGTCAGGCATGGGAAACTCTCATGCCAAAGGGTTCCCTTGTTTCTAGGTGCTAGGAGTAACTTTTTGAGTTTTATCCCACCTTTCCCCCAATATAGGGACTTAAGGCAGCTTACAATAAATATAACACAATATGATTTTGTATAAATATAAAAATTAAAATGCTTTAGTGGGCAGATACTTGTGTGGTGCCCCCGGTGGCGCAGTGGGTTAAACCGCTGAGCTGCTGAACTTGCTGACCAAAGGTTGCCAGTTAAAATCCAGGGAACAGGGTGAGCTCGCACTGTTAGCCCCAGCTTCTGCCAACCTAGTAGTTCGAAAACATGCAAATGTGAGTAGATCAATAAGTACCACTCCGGCGGGAAGATAACAGTACTCCATGCAGTCATGCTGGCCACATGATCTTGGAGGTGTCTATGGACAATGCTGGCTCTTCAGCTTAGAAATGGAGATGAGCACCAACCCCCCAGAGTCGGACACGATTGGACTTAATGTCCGGGGAAAACCTTTTACAACTTGTGAGAGGGATCCATGTTGTTGTTGCCCACAGAGGTGTCGTCCCGACGACACTTCCCCAACGCCAACTGAGGTCAACTTCTCAAACAAAATATAGGCCTGCAAATTGGTGGACTTTCCCCTCTGTGACACGTCTGTGTATGTGCTGCTGCTACTGTGGCAGGAAAGGCCTATAGAAAGAAACAAGACCCCACTTCCCTTCTCTGGGAGGGTCCCTTGAGGAACGGCCAAGTGTTGTGGCTATCCAAACCCACATTGGGGAAGAGCTTGTTTTTTCCCTCGCATCCCTTGGAGCAGCTGCGAGGTCAAGCCTGGTCTGCAGACCTTGCCTCGCCTCCTCCTCCTCCTCTTTTCCTGTTTTTTGCCTCGGAGCTGATGTTGACCATTTTTGAAAAGGCAGAAGCCGAGACCACCTGCTTGAATTTAAAATCCCCCTTGAATCCTGGTGAGCTCCAATGCTAACTTAAAGGCTTCAGAGCTAGCTGTGGGCAACCGGCAGCCAAAGGCCTCCTTGTCTAAAAATTAACCCCCCCCCCCCCAAAAAAAAAACTCTTTTGAGAGATCGTTTCAAGTGAGCTCTTTCAAAGCGCCCACTCAACAATCCCAGTAAAAGTGGCCTGACATGACAGTGGATCGCTCATTTTATTAATGCAACCGTTAATCCGCAAATCCTTTGTTGAACCGGTTCTTACAAGAGTTTGTTGACGATCAAGTGACGTTGGAAGCTTATCTTTTTACTCGTGCTGCCCTTCAGAGACATAGCTCCAGAGGTTGGGGACGGCAACAGCCGCTATCCTTCACTACTCTTTGGATCAGACTGCGAGTGCCAACAGCATGCCCACACACCCCTTGCCTTTGGCCCCTTTGTGAGCAAGACATGGGCCAATATGGCACCCAATGTGGAAAGTGGCTTGCCGATTCCAAGTTATTCCCAACTCTGCCACCTTTCAAGACCAGCGCCAAATTCATGCTTTGAGATGTAAAGTAGCAATTGGGTAAAAGGGACTTGGCGGCTTCCAGTCTTGGACCCGATGAACCCCAAGGCTCTTTCCCAAACCCTCTTCAAATGGAGAACCTGTGAGTTTGAAGTCAATCGCTCATTAGCTTAGCCAAGGGCTAAAAGTCTCAGATTCTACCTCTCGCTATACTATCCTCTGCTGTCCTATCCTCTTCATGTTACTGTTCACACCATCTCTCAGATTGCTCTAAGGCCGTGGCACGGGGCCTACCTTTGGCCAAAGCGAATCTCTCCTCTCCCTCTGCACCTCTCAGCCTCACCAAGGCAACCGAGTGGAAGACCAAGCACGGATTGCGTCGCGTAGGGTTTTTTGTGGTCAGTTTTTTTGCTCTTTTTTTTTTTTTTTTTACAAAATATTTATAAACGTTTTCCTCAACGGGACGCTCGCTTGTTCCATTTTCCATTAGGTAAAAAAAAGCAATACGAAGAAGGTGGGACAACGATGGACGCTAAAACGGGACACAGTCTCTAACATTCACGCACCAGGCCCAGGCTGTTTCCTTGAGGCTTCTGGAGGAACCGGGCTTCGGCCTGAGGCTGCACTCGCCCCGGGATCAAGGCTGCTCAGTCACCTCGAGTGATCAGGTCCTCGATGTACGCATCCAGTTCGTCGTCCGTATTGAAATCAATGTCCTGAAAGACCAAAGAGAGATCATTTGGGATGTGATTGTGCATCTTTTCCAGTAGAGCTCAAAGGGCATAGAGGCCGTTTGAGGACAGCAACTGGACCTCAACTTACCTCTTGAACTTTTTGGAGGAGTGCAACAATGTTCGTCCTCAGCCTCTGCAGCTTTTCTTTCGTTTCTGCCACAGTCTGCTCCTGAATATGCAGCTTTTCCTCGCAGGCCTTGGCCTGGGCATTTGCACGGGTCTGATAGGAGTTGCACAGGTTCTGAAGGCCCACCTCGTACTGCTTGAAATACTCCTTCTGTGGGGAGGGCAAGGCCAGGGCCGTGAGGGAAAAGCAACACTAAGTCCTGCAAAATTTTCTCTTCTGTAATAGAAGGCAAGCTCCCAATCTTCTCTTCTGGCATCACTCTAAACCACGTATGGGAAAGCTCAGGCCCGGGGGCTGAATGCAGCCCCTCAGGCTCTTTTCTCTGGCCCTCCTCTCTCTCACCATCCTATCCTTCTTTCTTTCTTTCTTTCCTTCCTCCTTCCCTTCCACCCTTTCGTCTTTCCTCTCTTTCCTTTCTCCTTTATCTTTCCRTCTCTTTCCTCCCTRCCTCCATTCCCTTCCACCCTGCTGTCCTTCCTTCCTTGCCTCTTTCCTCCCCTCCTCCCCTCTACCCCCCTTTCTCCTCCCTCCCTCTATTTCCTTCCATCTTTCTCTTCCTCCCCTTC